GTCAGGAAAACTCCCAAAAGTCACAAGTAAGAGCTATATAGATTGGCTCACCTCGCCACAGTGAAGTGTTACATAAAGGCCTTGTTCTCGAGCAAATTTCAATGCCGGCAAATACGTGGCCCTACGGAAGTTAAGAATGGGTTAGAATAAGCATCGATTTTCAAACATGAAGATTCATTACTACAATCAAGCATTGGATCAGTTTGATGTACTAATCACCAATATTTGGATTTCCAGAGAGATCAATTCCAACCACCCCAAATGGCCTCATTTCCAGTGCAAGCTTGACCTACAGCAAAGAAATGTAACATTGAAAGCCAGCACACGACAAGCTGTAAGTTTTTCAAATTACTTGCACATATTGTCTTACAGTTTCCATTGCTGCTTCTGCTGTCTCTCTTCTGTCAATGCTCAAGAGAAGCCTGACATAGATTCTTTTTCTCACATGTCCAATTGCAGGTACAGAACTAAAAAGACTCTTTGAATCTTCACAACGCGGAACGAAATCCACGTCAACAGAAGTGATTGATCTCAGACCTTTGATAACAGCTTCAACATAAGAGCGTTTGGTCATTCCCACGGAATCATTTCTCTGAATGGTGGAACCAAAAAAAAACACTTTCTTCGTCAGATCAATTGTCACAATCAATGGAAACAACAAGAACACCCTGAATTATAAATCTTCTTCGGTTACCTTTGGAGTAGTCCTCAACTCAAGATAGACAACATTCTCTGATGCAAAATCCTCAATAACCTGCTTTCAAGTACTATTATTACTATTGCTATTATCGCTTGTTAAAAAGAGAAGGCAATAAATGAGGCAAAAACAAAATTTACGTAGCAACCAAGCAGCCATACTTCTCTGGTAATTCTAGTGACAGTGTTGTGATCAGTAGTGAGAATGTGGATTAGGTCAAACAGCTTGAAAACTTCAGCCACGGAACGGTTGTCTGTATTTACAGCAACACAATTAACATCAGTGTGAGCATGAAGAAACAAAAATGATTTGAGCTTAACAGAAATAGGAGTAAAATTAAAATAAATAATAATAATGAAAAAAAAGGTCCGGCAACAGGTATGCAAGAAGCCAAAAGAAAATTAAGAGAGCACCTGAGTAAGTGGTGGTGGTGGCATATATATGTATATGTACTGTTTTTTAATAAAAAGATAATTGATGGATGGTTATGTGAGTTGGTTGGTTTATCCAGGGATGAATTATGTGGTTTAAGTTTGGAAGAGAAGGCTTGGAGAGCATGTGGTGAAGCGTCAACATGAATTGAAAATGGAAAAAGGAGCACATTGAAAGAGAGACAGGGTGGACAATTAACGAAAGAGCAAGCATAGAAAAACAGAAAGAGAGGGACATGTTTGTTGGCGGTCTTGTCTTTTCCAGCAACCAAACAGGAGAATAAACAAGAGAGGCATACATACATTTCTTGATGATATGTTCCACTTCCGAGATATCTATGACACCCTTTCCAATCAAACCCTCCGTGAGTTCTCTGAAAAAACAATAACAATAATGGTAATCAAGTTCAGATTGTGCATCCTGAGAGAGAGCAAAAAGAAAAAGTAAATTGAAATTAGATAGAATAAAAGAAAGTTACAGAAGTGTGGAGTCTCTGATGGATCCATTGAGGTGAGCATGCAGTTCAACCTTTGGCATTGACAAACACCACTCCATGTTTCTTTTCTTCTTTCTCTTTCTCTGCCTTTTGGCTTTGCTGTGTTATGAATGTAACTGAAAGACAAACGGTGGGTTTGGTTGCTTATGTATATGGCTCACGCAAACCAATAGCTCCACGACTTTTGTTCCCAAACTCCAATCTCTATTTTCTCCATCACTAAGCTACACCGTTTTAATCTTATTCTCTCATTAACTTTCAATTTTCATTTTAATCATTTTTATTTTATAAACATAATATATATTATAAACATCAAATTCTAAATATAATTAAAGGATGACCTTTCTCTAAATTTTTTAAAAATTTCTCTATAATATAAACATAAATAACTTTGAATTTACCATAAAATAAAATGCTAACAAATGAAATATTTAATATTATAATTATGAGTTTAATAATCATGTACCATTATAAAAAAATGTTTCTTTTAAATAATTATTATCAAAAAAAGGAAAAGTAGGAAAACTTGGGAAATGATGCATTTAAAAAAAATGCATGAAATAGCCGTTAGTTAATTTAGTATTTGGTAAATTTGATGTATAGAATATGAAAAACAATATGCATGAACGGTTAGTTTAGTAAATTGTGCATTCTATAGTTCTTTTTGACATAAGTATACCCGTGTCTTGAGGTTATCTCGTGTAGGACCATGATAATCTCGTGTTGAAATGTTTTGAAAGTTGTAATTTTAAAGAGCGATTTCTATTTTTTTTTCCTCTAGATATATCATTAAAAAAAGGTTTACAAATTAGCTGTTTTATTTCGTTAAATTGAATATTATATTTTAAAAAACAAAATTTCATTAAAAGTCAATCCTTAGTCAAATTCATGCATATTTTACTCCAATAATAAATTATAAACAATAAACATATTAGTAAAATTCAAACATTAAAAAAATAACAATGTATGCATAAATTAATTGCATATAAATTCTATCATATTAATTTTTATTAAAAGGTGTATTTTAATTTATATAAAAATGTTTATGAACTATTAATTTGGCATATTTTTCAGTGGTAGTAACAGGCATGACAACGTAAAAGACAGCATTTACCCCATCAATCTCTTAATTACACGCAAAAAAATGGAAACTTTGATCAAGAAAACAGTCTAAAACACCATGCTTCGTGAAAGAGATGGATTCAGAGAGAAAAATAAAATAAAAAACCCACAGCAGACACTTGAAAAACATATAAAGAAGGAGAATTAAGAAGCTGAAATGAAAGAATAAGCAGAATTTTCTCACATGGAAAGTTTCTGGCAAAAGGAACAGAGCAGAGTAGAGAAACTTGGTGAGATTCAAAGCCACACCAAACAGAGCACTGCTTTTTAAAGCCTCACAGAGACGCAAGAGTTTAATAGGCTACACAGTTATACATGATAACCAATCAAATAATATTTTAAATAATTATTGTTAAAGTTAAAACCTAACATACACATGTGATTTACAAATTATAATTGAATCTGATATGCAAACTGAGAAAGTGTGTATGCCTTGTTTCTTCTTTAAGAGGAATGCATGAATCATTCAATCCATAATAAGCATGTATGTGTTCATTAAATTACAAAAATTAGGTATACATTTAATATTTATTTTATCAATTATTTTTAACACAAATTTCAATAATTAATTTGGTAGAGAAATATTGTTATTCTATTAAAATTATTAACTTATTAACTCTGTGTCTTTGTGATTATTATTGATAAAGTTAACCTTTTAGAGGTTTTAAAAATATAAGGGATTCAAAGAGATTTCTACTTTAAACTAAAGTTAGAGAACGCTGATAATAAATTGATTTATATAGTTAATATGTAAAGACAATACGATTTTGTATAAGAGTTTTGGTTGTCATATTTAGTTACATAATGTTACTAAATTAAAATAATTTCATTGCTTGGTAAAATACATAATCGTATAATTCTTTTTAGAGAAATAAAGTGCCTAACCCACTTTAAAATAATGCTATAAGTTCTCAATTATTCTTTATTTTTGTTTTAAAATATAAAAACTTGGACATGTGTTTCCACTTGTTATACGTAGATATACATGAATAATGTATTCATAGGATGAGATATTAACTTTTGCCTTTTAAATGTAATTAATAGTTTGGTTTGTAGGCTCGCGCAAGATATCAATATGCTAGGAAACGTCAATATCTGAGTTCTGTACTTTGGGAATATCAATAATAATTATTATTTTAAAATTTTCAAATATTTATTTATTTAAAAGATTAATGNTTTTTTTTTTAATTATTGAATAAAAAAAATTCAATACTTAAAAAAGGACATTTTTTTTAATTAGGCTAGTTTATCTAAATGTTGGTGTCACCTACAAAATTTTCAGAGTTTTTAAATTATAGTAAAGGGAATTGATAAGGTTTGAAGTGCGAGATCAATGGAAATTATGAATTCTGGTTCTTCAAATTCCAATCTCTCTACATGACAAAAATATAACTTTTTTGAAGACTGAGGATGAATACAAACAAAAAGACGACAATGGGTAATGGGTAATGTTGGATATTCTTCTGCCTCGTAACAAAATCACTTTCAAAAGACTTGTTGGTAAATGTTGGCAACATGAAAGAAAATCCGTGGCTACATGTGATAACAATTTTATTAGAGCCACCTATATTTTTATCTTTTGAAGCATGAAGAGATTCCTTGCAACACTTGCTCATGTTGTCAACTTCAATGAAGGAATTAGAGGTTATTCTTGTAGTTTCATATTCTAGAAAGTCTTTTTGGGAATTATGTTATTGGGGTCGTAGAAGAAGATGAATTATTATCACTGGTTCACCTCTTGTTGCTTGTCTTGTTCATCAATCTAGAAATAGTAATGTAGGTTATACAAAGTGTACCGAACCCACTCTTTTCAGTTTTCACCATTGTGTGGCCAGATGGAAAAGTTCATTGTAGTGGTCAAATTAAAAAGTGGTAATTGCGGCATTATTAGGCAAGGTTGTTACAAGTCAACATGGATTACGATCAAATGTTGTTCAAAAACCAACCAACTACACCGTCCAATGGTCGCATCGAACATATGCATATAATGTTAAATGTCCAATACTTCGTTCATATTATAATTATGTGAAAACAACGTCTTTTTTATGGTTCAGATTGTGTGGAACTGTGTAGAATTGAAGAAGATCGTGAATCGTGATCCAGTCAGCATATATATCCAATGACGTGACCATATTGCAATGGTGTGTAGCTAATCAACCGAAACCTCATAGAAGAGTCACTAGATTGAATAATTTTATCAAGGACCAATTGCAAGGATTTAACTTCTGAAGTGACGTGCAAAATGAGAAAATAGAGGATAACTTTGCTGCTGATTTCAATTAAAATACTCATAAACTTGATCAGATGCATATACTACACCCTTATTTTATCACTTCATTCATTTTTTTCAATCTAGGATAAGGGACAGGACGCAGAAGGATCGCTGGGTAACATCTAAAGTAATCTAAATGCACTTCAATATTTTTTTGCCACTGAATTGAAAAAATTTCTTAAATCTTCCTTTATTTTGCTATCTGCAAATGTATACTCAATAGCATTCCTTGACAGCTCAAACATTTCCCTCCTTCCCAGCCCTAGTAATCAATTAATCAGGCATGTGGTCAGCAAAACCTGCTGAATTAATTAAAAAGTACTGCCTGCAAAAGAAAAGTGAAACGTACCAAATGAATCAGCAGCATATTTGTATTCCTCGGTGAGACTGGTAGAGAACACACCCGAGTCATCAGTACACAGGACTAAAGGATGTTTTGCTTTGTACAGATCACCTGCATCAGAAAGATCATGAGGTTAAGAGAGGATTGATTATTTTAAAGCAAATCCCCTCATAATAAAAGTTTGTATATAACTCTGAAATTACTTTACAAGTGTTTGAGAATAAGATTATGATTACTGCATAGACTTTTAGCTTAGTAGCTTATTTGGCTAGATATACCTAAGACATGTTGGTGATAGAATAGAACCATTAACTTCTTTTTAACCCACAAAAGTGAGATTTGATCTCCAACAAGAAGAGATGAACTTCTATTGCAAAATGTAAGAGCATTACGTGCTGTAACCACTTTATGGAAAGTCAAAACAGGTCTTGTTTGTTCGTGTGTGTCCCATGAACACGTTAAAAGGTTTGGTTCCTTAAAACCAGGACAGAACTTTTGAAGAAAACGGACGAGAGAAAACGTCTCCCAACTCTTTCTGTTTTTTTGTTTTCAAAACACTGTTTTGAAAAACAATTTCATCACTTATATAGATTTCCGGGGAGAAATTGATTTATGGGAAATGTGTAATTAATTTAGAAAACGATTTTTAAGCAAAAAGTTCTACTCTGACTTCTCCAAAAGTTCTACTGTTTATTAATATTTTTTCCCGACATCAAAAAGAGAAGCTAGCCAAAATCCAAAGCCACTTTCAAGCATAGAGCATCTTCGTTATGAAGTTAAAAAAACGGTCCCTCCATTGATTCTATATTTATGATCACCAACTTCAACTTTAAACAAATAGCACCTACCGAAATGGTGAACATCTATGGATCGAATAGTCAGTGTCCTAATGTTTGATGTCAAACAGATTTCAACCTGAAAATGGTGAAGAAGATGGAATAAATAATATGAATCTTAGCTGGCTATAAATTGCGAAGTGATAATGCATTCAAACTTAACATGGATCAGAAGCCTAGAAGTGTTGATCAGTGAAGACATAACCTTTTTTTTATCTGAGGAGTTCCCAGTATATACATAATATTTTTTATTGTTATGTATGAGGAACTTCTTAGATCATACAACTAAATTCACACTTGAAATTTCTCTTTCAACTTGAATCATAATTTTCATTTTCTAGTTTATTTAACGATAAGGGTGGTGAAAAAGTCAGACCGGAATCTTGGACGACTTCAGCTGTCTCCAGTGTTCATCCTCCAAGTGACAAGCATGTCCAATCCTTTGGGGACGAAAGTCAAGCATATTTTTTATCTCCACTGAATTAGGTACCTAAAATCACTTAGTCGGAAAAATAGACCAAGTCAGGAAAACTCCCAAAAGTCACAAGTAAGAGCTATATAGATTGGCTCACCTCGCCACAGTGAAGTGTTACATAAAGGCCTTGTTCTCGAGCAAATTTCAATGCCGGCAAATACGTGGCCCTACGGAAGTTAAGAATGGGTTAGAATAAGCATCGATTTTCAAACATGAAGATTCATTACTACAATCAAGCATTGGATCAGTTTGATGTACCAATCACCAATATTTGGATTTCCAGAGAGATCAATTCCAACCACCCCAAATGGCCTCATTTCCAGTGCAAGCTTGACCTACAGCAAAGAAATGTAACATTGAAAGCCAGCACACGACAAGCTGTAAGTTTTTCAAATTACTTGCACATATTGTCTTACAGTTTCCATTGCTGCTTCTGCTGTCTCTCTTCTGTCAATGCTCAAGAGAAGCCTGACATAGATTCTTTTTCTCACATGTCCAATTGCAGGTACAGAACTAAAAAGACTCTTTGAATCTTCACAACGCGGAACGAAATCCACGTCAACAGAAGTGATTGATCTCAGACCTTTGATAACAGCTTCAACATAAGAGCGTTTGGTCATTCCCACGGAATCATTTCTCTGAATGGTGGAACCAAAAAAAAACACTTTCTTCGTCAGATCAATTGTCACAATCAATGGAAACAACAAGAACACCCTGAATTATAAATCTTCTTCGGTTACCTTTGGAGTAGTCCTCAACTCAAGATAGACAACATTCTCTGATGCAAAATCCTCAATAACCTGCTTTCAAGTACTATTATTACTATTGCTATTATCGCTTGTTAAAAAGAGAAGGCAATAAATGAGGCAAAAACAAAATTTACGTAGCAACCAAGCAGCCATACTTCTCTGGTAATTCTAGTGACAGTGTTGTGATCAGTAGTGAGAATGTGGATTAGGTCAAACAGCTTGAAAACTTCAGCCACGGAACGGTTGTCTGTATTTACAGCAACACAATTAACATCAGTGTGAGCATGAAGAAACAAAAATGATTTGAGCTTAACAGAAATAGGAGTAAAATTAAAATAAATAATAATAATGAAAAAAAAGGTCCGGCAACAGGTATGCAAGAAGCCAAAAGAAAATTAAGAGAGCACCTGAGTAAGTGGTGGTGGTGGCATATATATGTATATGTACTGTTTTTTAATAAAAAGATAATTGATGGATGGTTATGTGAGTTGGTTGGTTTATCCAGGGATGAATTATGTGGTTTAAGTTTGGAAGAGAAGGCTTGGAGAGCATGTGGTGAAGCGTCAACATGAATTGAAAATGGAAAAAGGAGCACATTGAAAGAGAGACAGGGTGGACAATTAACGAAAGAGCAAGCATAGAAAAACAGAAAGAGAGGGACATGTTTGTTGGCGGTCTTGTCTTTTCCAGCAACCAAACAGGAGAATAAACAAGAGAGGCATACATACATTTCTTGATGATATGTTCCACTTCCGAGATATCTATGACACCCTTTCCAATCAAACCCTCCGTGAGTTCTCTGAAAAAACAATAACAATAATGGTAATCAAGTTCAGATTGTGCATCCTGAGAGAGAGCAAAAAGAAAAAGTAAATTGAAATTAGATAGAATAAAAGAAAGTTACAGAAGTGTGGAGTCTCTGATGGATCCATTGAGGTGAGCATGCAGTTCAACCTTTGGCATTGACAAACACCACTCCATGTTTCTTTTCTTCTTTCTCTTTCTCTGCCTTTTGGCTTTGCTGTGTTATGAATGTAACTGAAAGACAAACGGTGGGTTTGGTTGCTTATGTATATGGCTCACGCAAACCAATAGCTCCACGACTTTTGTTCCCAAACTCCAATCTCTATTTTCTCCATCACTAAGCTACACCGTTTTAATCTTATTCTCTCATTAACTTTCAATTTTCATTTTAATCATTTTTATTTTATAAACATAATATATATTATAAACATCAAATTCTAAATATAATTAAAGGATGACCTTTCTCTAAATTTTTTAAAAATTTCTCTATAATATAAACATAAATAACTTTGAATTTACCATAAAATAAAATGCTAACAAATGAAATATTTAATATTATAATTATGAGTTTAATAATCATGTACCATTATAAAAAAATGTTTCTTTTAAATAATTATTATCAAAAAAAGGAAAAGTAGGAAAACTTGGGAAATGATGCATTTAAAAAAAATGCATGAAATAGCCGTTAGTTAATTTAGTATTTGGTAAATTTGATGTATAGAATATGAAAAACAATATGCATGAACGGTTAGTTTAGTAAATTGTGCATTCTATAGTTCTTTTTGACATAAGTATACCCGTGTCTTGAGGTTATCTCGTGTAGGACCATGATAATCTCGTGTTGAAATGTTTTGAAAGTTGTAATTTTAAAGAGCGATTTCTATTTTTTTTTCCTCTAGATATATCATTAAAAAAAGGTTTACAAATTAGCTGTTTTATTTCGTTAAATTGAATATTATATTTTAAAAAACAAAATTTCATTAAAAGTCAATCCTTAGTCAAATTCATGCATATTTTACTCCAATAATAAATTATAAACAATAAACATATTAGTAAAATTCAAACATTAAAAAAATAACAATGTATGCATAAATTAATTGCATATAAATTCTATCATATTAATTTTTATTAAAAGGTGTATTTTAATTTATATAAAAATGTTTATGAACTATTAATTTGGCATATTTTTCAGTGGTAGTAACAGGCATGACAACGTAAAAGACAGCATTTACCCCATCAATCTCTTAATTACACGCAAAAAAATGGAAACTTTGATCAAGAAAACAGTCTAAAACACCATGCTTCGTGAAAGAGATGGATTCAGAGAGAAAAATAAAATAAAAAACCCACAGCAGACACTTGAAAAACATATAAAGAAGGAGAATTAAGAAGCTGAAATGAAAGAATAAGCAGAATTTTCTCACATGGAAAGTTTCTGGCAAAAGGAACAGAGCAGAGTAGAGAAACTTGGTGAGATTCAAAGCCACACCAAACAGAGCACTGCTTTTTAAAGCCTCACAGAGACGCAAGAGTTTAATAGGCTACACAGTTATACATGATAACCAATCAAATAATATTTTAAATAATTATTGTTAAAGTTAAAACCTAACATACACATGTGATTTACAAATTATAATTGAATCTGATATGCAAACTGAGAAAGTGTGTATGCCTTGTTTCTTCTTTAAGAGGAATGCATGAATCATTCAATCCATAATAAGCATGTATGTGTTCATTAAATTACAAAAATTAGGTATACATTTAATATTTATTTTATCAATTATTTTTAACACAAATTTCAATAATTAATTTGGTAGAGAAATATTGTTATTCTATTAAAATTATTAACTTATTAACTCTGTGTCTTTGTGATTATTATTGATAAAGTTAACCTTTTAGAGGTTTTAAAAATATAAGGGATTCAAAGAGATTTCTACTTTAAACTAAAGTTAGAGAACGCTGATAATAAATTGATTTATATAGTTAATATGTAAAGACAATACGATTTTGTATAAGAGTTTTGGTTGTCATATTTAGTTACATAATGTTACTAAATTAAAATAATTTCATTGCTTGGTAAAATACATAATCGTATAATTCTTTTTAGAGAAATAAAGTGCCTAACCCACTTTAAAATAATGCTATAAGTTCTCAATTATTCTTTATTTTTGTTTTAAAATATAAAAACTTGGACATGTGTTTCCACTTGTTATACGTAGATATACATGAATAATGTATTCATAGGATGAGATATTAACTTTTGCCTTTTAAATGTAATTAATAGTTTGGTTTGTAGGCTCGCGCAAGATATCAATATGCTAGGAAACGTCAATATCTGAGTTCTGTACTTTGGGAATATCAATAATAATTATTATTTTAAAATTTTCAAATATTTATTTATTTAAAAGATTAATGTATTTTACAATTTTACCTACTTTAATAGTGTAATTTTTGTGGTGAAATAACTATAAAAAAATATTTTTTTCTTTAAAGTTTATAGTTTGTTTAACATAAATAAATTAGAAAAGAAACAAAGAAGATAAGAAGATGCTTACTTCCCCTCTTTGGATTCTTTGTATATATGTAAGGAAAATATAAATATAGAGTTGTCGCGTTTTGTTTTTTCTTCAACTTGAGAAAAAAGGATAAGAAAGAAAGTTTCATTACTAAAACTTTTAAATTTTTTATATTTGGTAAAAAAAGGATAATCTTATAAATATTTTGTGGGACTTTAGGAAATTTATAAGACTTTTAAATTCGTTATATTTGGTAAATAATAATCTTATAAATATTTAGTGGGACTTTATGAAATTTATATAAAAAGTCTACTGGAAACTATTTTCTTGCGAAAATTTATAGAAAATCTTAAAATAGTATCGCAATATAAAAAAATTATAGAAAATACTTAAGTAATTTTATTTTACATTTTTATCAAAAAATATATATTATTTATATACAGACATTCAATATTAAAGATAATATAATATATATATATATATATATATATATATATATATATATTTTATATCAAACAATCTTCTAAATTATAGCCTCTTTCTTCTTTTTTATTCTTTCGTAAATAAAATAAACAAAGCTAAATTAATAGTAACTAGTTATAAATATTGTATCTTTTATAGCAACATAAGAAAAATATCCACCTATGGAATGTATCATCGTTTCGTGTAATAAGCAATATTGGTATGTTATTCTATATATTACTAGTTTTAGAATATGCGTCTTTGTTTTGGGTTGTACTTCTAAACTTTAATACATGCAAACGGTTGATCTTAAATGGATAAAATTAATTGTATTGTTTATTGTTGAAAGTTAATACGTGGGAACTTATGGCTAGTTAATGAGTTAGTCAATTTTAATTGTTTTTGTCTGTTTTGAGTATAACAAATTGAAATATGTAAGTCTATAAAATTATATGAATTAAATTATTTATCACAAGCTTGTTTTTGTTAATAAAGTATTATTAATAGTTAACTAAAAAAAAGAGAGTAACATATAGTCAGTCTTATTTCTCAAAATTGATTATGAAAATCAAATATGATATTTGGAGTCTCAAAATCAATACTCTTCTTGATTCTTGAAAAAATTGAGTGGGGATGGAAAATGATCATATAGAATAAGAAAACATCAGAGATGAATGCGTAAGCAATACAATAAAAGACAAAATAATTTTATACATTTTGTGCCAAGTTGTTGATGAGTCTAATTTTAAAAAGATTGTAAGCACAAAATCTTTAAAAGAAGTGTAAGACATTCTATAAAACCATATAAAGGGTGATACAATCTGGATATCATATGACACATGGTAGTGTCAGATGATATTATCTTACCTGTATAGATTATTATCACATATGAATTTTAATCTTCAAGAAATACATACAAAATCAAATCAAAAAATAATAAAAAAATAAAAAACGTAAAATATAAATCAGAAAAAAAAAAACACAAAATAAAAAAAGAAAAGATAGACGTCACAAAAAGTTGATAAGTTAAAAAAAAATCGGTACAAAAAATATTACTTTTTGATAAAAACGGAAATCGAAAACGCCACAATCTAATAAATAATAATAATAATAAAAACAACATTTTAAACTATGCGAAAAAACAAGAATATTTTAATTCGACAAGTTATAATAAATTTTGTGTGAAATTACCTATGTTTTGAAAATAACTATTTTATTAAACTAAAAAAAATCAATGAAATGTATAGAGGATTGATTCAAATAAATCATAAATCCAATATAAGTAAACACAATCAAGAAATGAAACATAATTCAAATTTTAAAAAATTAATAAAAATTAATAGATATAAATTCTTACATTTTCAATTTTCCAACTTATTTAATATAAGAATTTAATTAAGATACATTAACACGCAAACATTAAAAAACCACCTAACATATATTATTGCATAATGAAAAGAATTTATTGTTATCATAATCACTTTAAAAATGACATTGAATCTAATTTCCATCAATTAAATAGTATAAAAATGTTTATCGTATATAGTATGAAAATTAAACACTTGGCTTACAGTCTAACGTTCCATGGCAATTAAAGAGGCTTTAGAATTTGTTAATGAAAATAAAATAAAAAATGTGATATAAGAGAATTACAGAGAAAATAATTTCCTTTAGAGAAAATAATCTATAAAAAAACAAAAATTTTACTTATAAGAAATGGGAAATTAAGGAATAAATGGGTTTAACAAATGAGAATTGAGGAAGCCATACTATGTCACATTGCAATTTTTTTAAACTAAAAATAATATAAAAAAACTTACATGTGATAAGACCCACGAAAAATATTTACCTTAATAGTAACAATTTTATTACTAGTAGTAATAAATTTTTTTATGAATGGAAAATATAATAAGTTTATGTAAAAATAAAATGTGGAAAGTTAAATAAGCATGAGTTCAAATTCTTTTCTACCTTTTTTGTTTAAAAAAAATAAAATATTGATAGTGGATAAAGCACTCCATGTTTTAAGGCATTATCGAGGAATCCATTATGTAAGTGGTGATTAAGATATTAATATAATAAAATAATAATATTAAAAAAATTATTAAATACTAAAATTTTTGGACTATAAATAGTCATGAGAGGGGAGGCTATTTTGCACAATGAGAGGAAGAATCAAGTGAGAAACCTTGAGAAATAGATAAGAAAGAGTTAGGAAGAAATTTTTAGTTGCAAGAAGAGTAGAGGTTCTGGAAGGTTTTCGAGGAAACAAATTCTGAGCAAGAGATTAAGTCTGGAATAGAGGTATGGGAACTAACATTTCTAAGCTTTTATATTATGATTTAGTATTGTTTTATTACTATTCATGTCTTGAAATT